AGAGAGTTAGTTATTCTTTTCGGATCTTCAACAGATAGCCTGCTGTCTGTATATTTCAGTCAATCAAGAACATGCATGAGAAAAGGCCTTTTTTTTTCTCTTCTCTTTTTTTTTTTTCTTTTTTTTAACCGAATTTGACAATTTCTAAAGTTCTGCGTTACAAAAGTCCCATAACCTTTAAGAACTTTGCTTTATTTGCCTCTGGTCATTGCAGAGTTGTTCATCTCATCTATGTTGTGCAAAGGCTAATCCAGAGACAATACCCCAGCATCAACAGGTTCAGTGGTGCAGGATTAACGGAAGGCTCCTCACGGAGGTCTCCGACTTCTCTGATCAATTTCGTAAATCGGGGTTCCACTGTAGTGTAGTTTTATTGCATATTTTATATCATAAGTATCAAAAAGGGAATATCAGTTGGAAAGTAACAATAGGAACCCAGGGCCCCTCTCAGTAGAACGTGGGACGGGTGTTACACTTATTTGAAAAACCTCTCAGAAAAGTAGGATCAAGGTACACAATGAGGCCCATATCTGTGATTTCATTTTTTTATTGAGTCAGTAAAACATTATTATTACTTTATTATAACTACAACGTAAATCCATATTTGTTACTAAACTTCAAATAGGTGAATCATCATTCCTATCATTTATGCTAACTTTTAATAGAGATAATTTTCTTGATAATTACAAAATCAATAGCAAGGATTTAACATGAGCATGATTAGACTCTATGCTTTCACAAGTAAATACATGAGAACACACTCTGAGCAGCATCAGAATTCTACGAGTGTCACTTTGTTTGGATGACCACTGTTGGTTGAGACATGAAACCAGTTGCAACTGGTTGCGCAGGCATCATCATCATTGCTGGCTGGACAGTTGGAATAGGCTGCATGCTGACAACAGGGTTATTCTGCATAGTGATGACAGTCGGGTTTTTCTTGCGATGCTTTAACTCGCGATGCATCTGACACCAGGAGCACCACTCGCAGAAACAGGAAAGTACAATATCCTTACAGAGAGAGCCCTGCAGAAAGGGAATACAAGCATTACAGATTTTGTGTAATTCAGGTGGAAGAGCAGGTTCAACAAAATCTAACAATCAGAAGTTTGGTAGATTAATCCCTTGGAATCTCCTCGGAAGAGATACTATGTGTGTGAATGTTAGACAAAAAAGGTTTAGGCATAGATTAAATCCAATATAGATTTTTTTTGGATTTGGTGAATAAGATTTGTAATTCCTAGTTAAGTTGATTTTTGAGTTCAGTGTCACCATCAAATGCTTCATACCTTGATGCCGTATCGGTTTCGCATGCCAGCTCTTAAGGACAAAACTGCAGGAGGAACACAGATCGGTATCCCACAGGCTGCTAATATACCAGGGCCACATATATCACATAAAGGGAGACAGCTGTTCTCTCCAAAGTTTCCTGAAACAGTGCAGGCGAGACAGGGGCAGCACCAGAATCCATAGCAGCCTGAAAAACACAAAAACACAGAAACACATCAATAAAGTGGTAACAAGTCTCAAAAGATGAAGGCAACACAAATGAGGGAAAAAATCCTGAATTTAATCTGTGAGTCAGTAAAATTTAACTGGCTTCTTACAAGTTTTCATATCCTGACAACAGCCAAGGACATCACTGTCCCAGTCTGTCAAGGGTTTTCCTGCAATTGCCATTGTATGTTGAACTTCACCCACAGACACTGAACGCTCACTCTGTGAAAGTCGAGAAGAAAAAGTAAAATAACTACAGCTGACACACAGTGCTGTATAATACATCTACATCTCTACAATAAATTCACAAGAAATGTTATATTGCAAGGTGAAGACACTACAGCATTACACAGAGAAAAAAGTAAGCACGAGTAATCGTCTGGTGAGTGTAAGAAAAAATTAAAAGCTTTCTATGGACATTCAATTGACCTCTGTTTCCCTGAACAGGACTAATGTACCGCATGTGCACATATGTATTTCCAAAAAATTAAAAAGCGATAACTTTTCTATAAAGCTGCTACTAGTTTCATGATATAAATTACCTTTCCCAGTCTATGTAACAAAGTTAATGTGAAATTACTTGTAGAAAACTGGAAACTCTTACCTTTTGTTGCTGGACACCCTCTGCCCACCTCTGATCCTTGAATGAATGACTGAAAGGATGCTCCTTGGATTGGGAGTTTTATTG